AAGATAAGGAAAATCTTGTACAGAGATGGCCGAGAGAGTTAAAGATGAAGTAACACGAACTGGAAAGGATTTGAAAAATGCGCGCTATTTTAATTTGAAGATACACAGACCATGTCTAGACCGTTAGCTTTTCGTGGTTTAACCGCTATTAAAACAAACAAAAAAATTTTTGCATGAAAGATTAGCCTTAAAGAATTGCCCTAATTCATAACTATATGTTGCTTTGCCTTAATGCCAGGTAACATAATGTTTGTTTAAGAGTTAACCCGTTTAAAACATTTATTCATGGATCTTGTTTTCTTTGCCTTCCCTGCAGATCAGTAATGGGACTTCCAAATAAAGACGACGAGCTCACAACTTCTATGACGCCCCTAAATGTCCTAAGACGATCGATCATTCCATCGTTTCTCCCGCGTGCAATTCCTATCGTCAAGCAATGTTTGTGTAACGGGCTGTTCCGCTCTCATTTTCATCAAACACCCAAAACTACCGATTACGAAGAATACAACATACTAACCTGTGCAAAATGTGTTATTTCCAGTAAACCCTGCTTTGCACGTGCAGTTGTACGAGCCTTCTGTGTTCACGCACTCTGCTTTGCTATGGCAGTTGGCTGTTTCAGCCTCGCATTCGTTGATATCTAATATGACATGGAAAAAAAACTCAAATTGAAAGTTCATTTTCCATACTTGATAGCACGCAGTCATGCGACTGGTCAGTGCGTCAGTCATTCCAGTACAGTCCAGTCCAATCCAGTTCAGTCAGTGGGTTAGTTCTTCCTTCAGCCAATCCGTCAGTCAATTAGCCAGTCAGCTAGTCAGCGATTCAGTGAGTCAGGGTCTGGAAGTTCGTCCGACTTGATTACCTACGTATATTCCGTACGTATATTCCGTGCTTGGAGGAGTTGAATTAGAAACCAAACAGCCATTTAAAATGTTAAACTTTCCCATACCTAGGCAAACATCTCCCAAGCGTGCGAATCCAGACTTGCAAGTACACTGGTATTTGCCATCTACTTCTAAACATTCCTCGTTGCCAGCGCATGGCCTGTCACAAACACCCACAGCTAAAAAGAAAAGCAATGATAACAGTAGGTACTTGACTTGTACAGAATTGCGATATGAACTGGACAATGGTTTGCTTCATAAAACAACTAATGATCGATTGCTTTAAGCGCCTGTTTCCATTTTCCGCTGTTCCGTCATCTCTCCTCTCCGCAGAAAAGACAACCCTTGCTTTTCACTGCTTTCTTCACTTAAGCACACAGGATATTTTCAGTTATATTTATGAATAAATCGTCCATGCAAACGAATACTTTTATCAATTTCCAGATAAATATAATTTTTAACAATTCAAAAAAATTCAGGATTGGTTATGGTTATTACGCTCGACTCCGGATCGAGTGGTCCGGGTTCGAGCCCTGGCCGAGGTCATTGTGTTATGTTCTTAGGCAAGACACTTTACTCTCACAGTGCTTCTCTTCACCCAGGAGTACAAATGGGTACCAACAAAAGTGTGCTGGGGGTAACCCTGCGATGGACTAGCATCCCATCCAGGGGGGAGTAGCAATACTCCTCGCCGCTTCGTGCTAAGGAAACCGGAGTTAAGCGCCGGCCCCATGAACCACTTGGACCTGTATAAAGGCTTTACTTTTTTAACAATTCAGAAGAAGGATGTTTCTCGGTCATATCAACACATTTCTTTCTCAAATATGTATTTATGTATACAACACTAAAAGCTGATTCTAACTCCACTATAACAACAGAACAAACCGATGCACGTCGTTCCATTTCCAGTATAACCAGGATTGCAAGTGCAGTTAAACGAGCCGTCAGTGTTGGTGCAGTATGCATTGGAGTCACAGTCGGAAAGTCCCTCAGAACATTCGTCCAAATCTGTCGAAAAGCCGGACAAGTTTGCATTAAGAACTGTAAATACGATCTGCACTGGTTAAGAGACCTATCCATCTACTCATAACTTTTGATACACCGTTAGTTAACAGCGAAAATTAAGGAGACAGACCCATGCAATAAATCCTTAACTGCACCAAATAACCATGAAAATGACACGAAAAGAACGGAATAAAAATGTGCCGATGTACTTTTTAGTTACTCAGCTTGAATCAGGGCGTGGTCATTGGAAGGGCGACTAACTTAAAACCAATTTCAAAAGTTCGATTTCTCATGTTTTAATCGTCATTATAATGATCACATAAAGATAAAAAGAATATCACCATTAACAACGAATACAAATACAATCGCATTGTCACACAGACGCTCGAAAATTCTTGTCGTTTATTGTTCTCGTAAACGTCACCTGAGTCTCGCTCACATTTCTTAACACTTGGCGAGGTTTCGTAACGAAATGATAAGTTGTTTGTGACAAACCTGCGCAGTCTCCTGCCTCATTCCTTCGGTATCCCTCGTTACATCTGCAGCTGTACGATCCCTCAGTGTTCACGCAGTCCGTGTTGACGGGACAATTAGCTGTGCCATCCTTACACTCATCGACATCTGAAGGAAAAAACAAGACGATCAAATAGATATGGTGTAACAAAATATAACATGAAAAGAAATACAGTTTGAATAATACAAGTACTCTTCGACTGAATGAAAAAACCATGCTCATTTTTTATGTCATAAATGACCTAAAGATCAGCCTGATTCAGTTTTAGAGGAAAGTTAACCCTTTGGCCCCTAAGAGTGACTAGTCCGTAATTTCTCCTTACAATATCACCCCTGAATCACACATAAAGGTAACGAGAAAAAAGGAAATGATCAGCAATTGAAGCAGCCCTTTATTATTAAACAAATTATTCTTCTCAGCCTCTTAGAAATGTACGAAGGGTAGTATGGAGAATGAGTTTTACTAATGTTAGGGTATAAAGGGTTAAACTCATTACTCTGAGCGGTGATTAACCTAGCACTCGAAAGAGCTATTAACCTCTACTTACGGAAGTAAGCAAACAGCTATTTTTTTTCCCTGTCCTGTGCCTTCAAAACTAACCTCTACAAGTCCTTCCATCTCCCTCATATCCTCTTATACATCTACACACGTAGAATCCAATCGTGTTGGAACAGAGGGCGTTTACGTGACAGGTCGCTTCTCCTGTGATACATTCGTCAACATCTGTGACGTAAAAAAAATGGACTCATTAGTGATGGATTTGCCAGCGACACTCCCTTAAAATGGTTTCACTATTGACAAAACTGAAAAAATGGTATCAAAAGAATTTTCAAGGTTTCCAAGAGTAATTATAGCAAATAGATAGGTATGTCAGAGCCAAAAATATTCAATCGCCGGCCACATTAAAGATAGCTTCACGGGGGCCTCAGTGGAAATTGAAAAACAAAAGCAAATGGCATACAACTAAGGTAATGTCTGGTTTTAAGTATTTTGGGAGCGTTTCATTGTAATAAGTTCCAGTAAAGATAAAAGCCAAAAGATTACCTTGACAATTGCCGGCCACTCCAGTGTACCCTGAGGCGCAGTTGCACGAGTATGACCCAATCGTGTTTACACACTCCTCACCAACACCGCATGTGTCGCTCGTGTCTTTACATTCATCGCGATCTGATGGAAATCAAACGTTCATCTGTCTTGTTTACGATAAATGCAGTGAAATAAATTGTAGCAACGCACATAATGGTATTATCGTTTTTATTTTCTTTTAAGTTAAGGTTTAGTTAACTACATTACCTATGCACGTAAGGCCATCACCGTCAAAACCCCGGATGCAACGACACACGTAACTTCCCAAGGTGTTCGAGCACTTTGCGTTAGCATGGCAGACGTTTTCTCCACTTTCGCATTCTTCGACATCTATTAAAAAAAAAAAAAAACAATAATCGGCATCCCATTAAAAATTATTTAGAAGCTTGGGTAAATAAAGGAAACGTTTTTAGACGCCAGCCGGTGGCTCTTGCTCATCCCGATTCCCGTTAAATGAAGTAACTTAGAGTAACGCTGCTCCTTCTGAACAAGAAAATCGCCAGTTACCCCGCTATTATGACGGTCAGAGTGCTAGACTCCGGGTCGAGAGGTCCGAGTCAAGACCAGGCCGGGTCACTGTGTTGTGGTATTTGGTAAGACACTTTATTGTCACAGAGCCTCTCTCTACCCAGGAGAGGATACGGGCGAAATGTCAGGGAAGCCTAATGAAATAGGGGGGTAACCTTTAGATGGACTGGCATCCGTCGAGGGGAAGTTGCTTCATGCTAAGAAAACCGGGGTAAGCTCAGCCTGGACAGGCTTCTTGGCTCTAGTGCCGAGTTTTTTTTACTTTCATTACTCCGGCATGGTATTTCATCAGGTTTCTCGGACAGTTCTTCGGAACTCATTCATATGTGTGTGTAAAGAGGCACCGTGACAGTATAAGACTCCATCCAGGGTTGCTAAACAGATTAAGGGCTAACCAATAAATGCATCTTCCTACCTGTACAGTTCTTTCCATCTCCTTCAAATCCTCTCACACAATTACAGATATAGGATCCTTCAGTGTTGTTACACACAGCGTTGGGCGAGCATTCGTTTAGCTCGCTACTATCGCATTCATCAACATCTACAAGTTTAGAATTCAATTCATTGTATAAGTAGTGACTTCAAGGAAAGCATGACGTATAAAAGCTTAAAGGATTCGGAAAATTAGAAATAGAAAATTCATTCAACTCTTTATCTGGTTTACGCATACTAACCTAAGCATTGGTACCCGTCTCCTTGGAAACCAGTTTTACAAACACACTCAGGTCGCTCATCTTGATTCTGGCAATTCGCGTTAGGACCGCAGGATGGGGAGCAGCCTGAGACGATAGCTAAGGGAGTACAGAGAATGAGTTTAGAAATATGCTGATAAAACTACTGGATTGACTATAGAACATTTTATCATATGGACTAGAGCGTTTTACCAGGAACTAAAACAATCGTAGAAAAATCACGACTATCCGGGAACCGAGTGACGTATTTTTTTTGTATGTAACACGGTCATATTGAGCAACGATGTCACGATTTCCTCAAATGTTTCTGAATGAACTTGGTTTGTTCGATGTTTGGAATAATGGCCGCCTTACATCTGCTCACCAATTTGTAATATCTTTTATTTACCTGTGCAGTTTCTTCCATCGCCTTGGAATCCACTGAGACAGCGACAGACATACGACCCGTTAGTATTGGTGCACTCAGCGTTGGGATCACACTGGTTTGCTTCGGAGTTTGCGCATTCGTCGATGTCTATGATAATTAAAGTGTTGTTGCTCTCAGAATCAATTCTTGGACATAGGACCAGAGTCTCCAAGATCAAAGTAAGTAGCGTTTCTGACCTCATGCAGTGTAAACGAAACGCAAAACAAACCTGAGCAGTTTTTCCCATCTCCCTGATATCCATCTTGACAGCGGCAGCGATATGATCCTTCGCTGTTGGTGCAAACCGCATTTGAGTCACACTGATTCGTCTGGGGAGTTGTACATTCGTTGATATCTGCGTTGGATTTCAATTATTACGAATAAAGGATTAATAGTCCAAAGGTTTAACTATGAAATAAGGTTCATGAAATATGTCTATTACTGAGCTCAAAATATTTACGGGGACTTTTTTTTGTTAACCACGTCCGAATTGACCATCTCCTACACGGCACCAGATGACATGGACACGCAGATTGAAAAATATTGCTAGACTGTAAAAGTAATTAAGAGCAAAAAAAAATGACACACACACACACACACAAAAGAAAACAACCACAACAACAACAAAAAAAGCTTAAACAGTTACCTTGACAACTCCCTGCCTCCCCTCTGTATCCAGGGGCGCAACTGCACGTATAATTACCAACCGTATTGACACACACTTCATTAGCTGCACAGGTGTCATTCTTGGCACATTCGTCAAGGTCTGTAAGGTACAGCACAAGCATAAAAATGAAACTGAAATTGTATATGGTTAAAATTAAATAAACAAACAAGGAGAAAAGCGTAGCCTTGACCTAGCTCCCCTCTCCAATCACCATCAAAACCCCGGATGCAATGGTACACATATCTTTCCCGCGTGTTGGATCACAGCGCATTGAATTTGCGCAAGATTTTCCATTTTCACATTTTTCGAGTCTACAGTTAGACGCAGGACAAAGTTGGAGAAAGACAAACCAGCGTGTGCACAACTTTTTTGACCTGAAATTGCAGTAGATTATAATAAATGAGGCTCGGCGGTGGAGAACACTTTAACAAATGTAAATATCCGGTGGGAAATCGCAACCTGCGCAAGTCCTTCCATCTCCTTTATACCCTCTTACACAGCGACAAACCTTTCCACACTAACTCTCACACAACCTCGCATTCAATTATCTCTTATCTTATTTCTTTCTGTTTTATTCTTGAAGTGTTCATCTCATTTTCTTGTGTTGGCAATTCAAGCTTTTCGACTGTTTAATGAAGTACAAGGAAACCTTTCAGTCGACTGCACTTAGAGAACAAGAACGCGTTCGCAACTGAAGGTAAGTAAAAATGACTAACTTATGATTGATGTCAATGAATGAAATGGAAACATACAAAATCGCCTTTACCTGTGCAGGTGGCTCCGTCACCCTGATATCCATCTCGACAGCGGTATAAGACCCTTCACTGTTGGTACACCGAGCGTTCGGATCACACTCGTTTGTTTCTGAACTTGTACATAAAAGAGGTAAACATTCATGAGAAAATCCCTACCTGTACAATTCTTTCCATCTCCCGTGTATCCTTTGAGACAGCGACAAATATAGGATCCTTCAGTATTGTTGCATAAAGCGGTAGGAGCACACTCGTTGGCTTCGAATTTTTCGCATTCATCAATATCTACGTGTAAATAAAGGTTGATAGAAGATCCTTAGAGGAATCCCTGCGATTTTACATTTCTTTTCATCCTCACAAGAAAATTTCTGTGAAGAGGATGGGATGAATTGAAAGAGGAAAATACAGCAACGTGTTTCAAAAGTGTTCAGGGAATCTTTACCTGTGCAACTTTTCCCGTCGCCTATGTATCCTTCCCTGCAGCCACAGGTGTAAGATCCCTTGTTGTTGGTGCACAGTGCGTTAGGAGCGCATTGGTTTGTTCCAGGGTTGGAACATTCGTCGATATCTGCAGTCAAGGATCGACATTACAAAAGCAGAAAAGCCAAGAACTTGTTAAAAATGAGAGAAAACCTCAATACTCTTGTGTCGTATTTCAATGAAATTCCAAAATGTGGCTCAAATTGTAAGAGAGTATTTTTCTAAGGAGAAACATTTACCTGTACAGTTTCTACCATCGCCTTTATATCCACTGGTACACAGACAGACGTAGGAGCCGTCCGTGTTGTTGCACACAGCATTGGGACCACAATCATTTGTTTCAGAGGTTGCACACTCGTCAATGTCTGTGTTTACGATAAAAAAGTCGATGAGATGACTTATTTTTCCCCTAATTTGATTGGAAATCATCATAACATGGAATTCAACTGTGTCACTACACCAAATAATTGACAACGTTAGCCATTGTTCATTTAACAATGCCCTGTTTCTTTTTCACTCTAAGTTGTACCACGCACTAGAATCTGAATGTAAGGTTATGTAAGCGTGAACGACAGCCTCAGTGGTCTAGGTATAGGACGTACACTGCGTACTTTTGCGTGTAAGGCGCAATGGGTGTACTTTGGCACACGCAGTATAATTTGTATGCAGAAAAGCACTCCATTGCCTGTCACTTTGACATGCTCAAAAATATAAACTCTCATCGCGCATCCTAGTTCTAGGTTCCCAGAATCATCACTCAAGTGGATGGTCACGTGTAGATAGTTTAAAATGTACATAAAAAAAGTGATGGCGACGAATTTCAATGTGTATGTCGGTTAACTGCATTTAGAGAACAAGAACGTGTCCCTAAGAATGTGAGTGGAGAAGACTGACTCATGACTACATTCGTTGATGTCTAATAAGGGGAAATCCATACTGAGCCAATGCTTTACTAAATAGCAGATGAGTCAGTTGTTTCGATAAAAATAACGTAAAATGTTGCGTGGAAGAGATTGATTGTTTAACTACACAAGAGGGCGAGAGTCCTGCGCCCTTAAAAAAAAGCGCATCACCAAACCTTGGCAATTCCCTGCCACTCCACTGTATCCGGGGTTACAATTACACGTATGGCAGATCAAATACCTAGAGTAACTTAATATGATTATATGAGTAACAAACGTTTATCATCTCTTGGTTCTCACGGATTGTGTGCGTCCAAAAGGAAAGGTTGAGAAAAAAATACCTTTACATGTATGACCATCACCAAAAAATCCCTGAATGCATCGACAAACATAACTTCCTGGAGTGTTAGTGCATTTTGAATTCTTGTGACAAGAGTTTGGCCCATTACCACATTCATTGATATCTAGAACATGCATGGAGAAATTTCCAATAAATGATCTACCTTAAACCTGTGAATAACATCCACACGCATTTAAGTAGTACATTAAATGTTCGATATACAGCGGGGACCATAGTGTTGCTATCCGATTGCTCTAAGAGTTCGTCGATGCCTAGACAAACCTCAAAATGGAATTATTGTGATTTCAATCGCAGACGAAATTCATGATAGAATTAAAAAAAACCCTACAAGACATGTTTTAAAAGAGTACTTCAAACCTGTTTGTGTGGTTATGGGGCGAAACAAGAAAACCTTTGGTTAACTAAGCTCTCTAGTTCACAGTTTAAAATGGCGATTTTACATTAGTAAAACACTTTAATCAATCGACATTACTGTAAGAATTTGCAAAGAATTTGAATTATTTTATTTAATAGATTGATGTTGAGTGAATAAACTTAGTTGTTGTAGTTGTTGTTGTTCGAGTTTCATGAAGACCGCCAAGATACACTAACCTGCACATACATATCCATCACCCTCGAATCCTGGATTACATTCGCACAAAGGACGCGCACCAGTTTCCAGGCAGCTCGCATTTGCTCCACAAGCTGGTACACAGCCAGTGACGACAGCTGTAATATTCAGACAATCAAGACTCAGTGATAACCCATACTTGACCACGACAATGACAATTTCGAAAGCAAATTCTACCTGTACAATTCCTTCCATCCCCCTGGTATCCAGTTTTACAACCACAGACGTAGGATCCATCGGTATTGTTGCAAACAGCATTTGTATGACAATCGTTTGTCTCATCAGTGGCACACTCATCGATATCTGAAAAGAAAGAGTTTGAGGGTAATGGCCATTAGCCCACCTTAGGCCCTGATATGTGTTGATCATAATGGTTGAGATTGAAATGGAGTTACAATGGAATAATTCATGTTTGACCAAGGCGGGTTAACTAAAGAGTTTTAAGAGAACTGGTTTAGAAATATGGGAGTCCTCGTTCAAAAGCGAAATTCTACTCCCCGACTGAATTTGTTCCTCGGTATTCCTAGTTGAAATTCTCTACTGTCCCTCTATATATCGAGCCGGCTTGTCTCCTACAAAATTAAACTTTTCCTCAATTATTGGAGAACATTTTACCCTTTTTTCACTATTAGAATATTATGCATTGTCCCCTGCAGTAAATATACCAACTATAAAATAAAGATGTTTTGCTTGAAACCTCTTTACTCTCCAAGTCAATTATTATTCATTCTGTGTCTATGCCACTGATTGCATGTTTCCATATCCTGTGTAGGACTCTTGCATTAGGATTTTATTATTTTTTTCATGGCTGTGAAGTCTGTACCTGTGCAGTTTCTTCCATTGCCCCGATAGCCACTAAGACAGCGACAGACATACGACCCGTCAGTGTTGTTACACAGCGCTTTGGGATCACATTCGTTCGTTTTAGGGTTTGCACACTCGTCAACATCTGCAATTGGAAGAAAATATATGGTTAAACTCTTACTTTAGGGACGGAGCTACTGAGACATTGGTACTCTCCATGTCTCACTAGTCCTGCTTAGGTGCATGCAACTTCTCAGACGGTAACTGCACCCGTAGGAAGATGTTACTTATGATAAACGAAAGAGTTAATTTTTCCTTACAAATGGTGGAAACAGTCAACATTTAACAAACGATACATCCAATTCTGTAAAGTACCAATCATTTTTAATCCGTGAATATATCAATCGCAGGGGACTAATTACCTTGACATTTCCGTGCCTCTCCAGCATACCCAGGGGCACAACTGCAGGAGTAAGAACCAATTGTGTTGACACATTTCTCATTGGCGTCACATGCATCCTTATCCGCACATTCGTCAAGATCTTGAAAGGAGCAAAAGAGAGAAAAAATTAAGGAAGGATAGAAGGGAACCATTAAAAGCATGTGTTTTTTCATTTCACTCTCCCATAAGATGTGTGCAAACAGCTGTTTCGAGAAAGGAAAGATCTCAAAAGGTAATTTGGGTATCTGGTAATCACTGGATGTTAATAAGTGAAACAAATAGATTAATTTTCAAACCTACCATGATTAGTCCTTACAGTGACGTTTTCTCAGATTTTTAAGAAATCCTGAGGTTAAAGAATAGTGACTTGAAGAATACCCACAATGCCTTACGAGGTTGCCACGTGTACTCAGTTTACGCTTTTTTTCCGACAACCTTCCTTCAAACAGTTGTATACAGTTAAGTAATTAACCATCAATGAATCCATTTTAGATAATGAAATTAAATCTATTTGTATTACCTCGGCAAGTCTCACCATCACCATCAAAACCTTGTTTGCATTTGCACACATAACTTCCCGGGGTGTTGGAGCAATTCGCATTAACATCGCAAGAGTTTTCACCATTTTCGCATTCGTCGACGTCTGTGCCAAAGAACAAAGAACCATTTGAAATTATCGCCCGCTTACCTTTTTTCAGCGATAACAACACTTTTGCTAAAGTTTGCTCTGGGAATAATTAACCAGGATAAGTGACTAGCGGGCTTTTTTTTCTCCTTATAGGAATAAAATTCTTCTACTAGTGTTTATGGGTTTACAGTTAAGGTGCTCGGTGAGAAGTTTATCGCTGAACACACTAGTAAGTCGAAAAGTGTGCTATTTATTTTCGCTCCTTGGAGCTATCAATTGTCGCTTTGATTTTCCAACAAGGATTCGTACATCCCATGCAATTTACTCCCTGCCATCAATATCGATCCCCTTAAATTAATGAGGAAAGTTATTAATTTCTTCATTGAAAAGGTTATGCTGCATCGATGAGGTGAAGTTTAAAAGGTTAACTTAAACACAATGGTAAATTTCTTAAAGGTGGTTACGTCTCGAACTTAAGCCCTTGATCGCTCTTAGGCGCTCACACTAGACATGTGATAAACCCCCATCATCCTAACTTCATACATAGGTGAGTCAATCCTTTTAGTTAGCCGTCAATAAAAAGCATGAGGGCAGGAGACTTGCCATTGCAGCTTCTACCATCTCCCTGATATCCACTACGACAGCTACAAAGGTAGGATCCATCGGTGTTGTTGCATAGGGCATTGGAATCACAGTCATTCATTTCAAGGCTTGAACACTCATTTACATCTGAAAAATAGTTCGAAGCAAATCTTTGATATTACGATCCTTCTATTGGATCCAGCTGTAAAGAGGTTATCAGTATGGACGGCACAAGAGTATTCACACACAAAATGGTTTAAAGACAAGCAGGGATATCTAACACTTTCTTAAGAATGATCGCTGAATCATACACTCAGTGGTTCACGAACATGAAAAACTGAAGAGCAGACTACGAAGAAGGAAAGCCAGACAAAAATGGTCGCGTTCTGAGATTTGTCAAGCTACTCTCCTTTTGCAAATGTGAAAGATGTAAATATTTTAAATTTATAGTCAAATTACAACTTTCTTTTACCTTGACAGTTACCAGCCTCTCCTGTATACCCTGAGGAACAGTTGCAGGAGTACGATCCAATCGTATTCACACAGTCTTCATTAGCTGCGCATGTGCAGTTCTTCTCCACACACTCGTCTCGATCTGTAAAAACATGACGAACGCAAACAGTCGGATGTCGACAATTGGATGGAAGTGGCCAAAATGAAAGATTTAATTTACCCTTTAGACCCTAATGTCATTATGCATTATCGTTTCTCTCTCAGGCTTACCTGAGTTTGAGGTGTGGTGGGACAGTTTCTTTTACTATGATATTTTAAGTTTAATCACCTTTACAACGTCTGCCGTCCCCAATGTATCCAGTGAGGCAGCGACAAATGTAGGATCCTTCAGTGTTAGTACACAATGCATTGGGATCGCATTCGTTGGTATCGTTTCTGGCACACTCGTCAATTTCTACATACATCAAAATACAGAAAACTGTAAGACTGGTTTTAAATTGACAACACTTCTTGGCTAAATCCTTGTTCTTTACTTGTGATTATCATAATTGTAGCGGTAATGAGACATTTTTTATAGTTCCTACCTGGCTTGTGCTGACAGACATAACTTCCCAGGGTGTTGATACACAGGGCGGTATAATGACAAAGGCTCTTTCCTTGTTCACATTCGTTTATATCTGTAAAAAAAAAGACATCCATTTATGATCTTATAACTTCCTGGTACAAACTGCGTTATGGCTTAAACACAGCCATTTTTAACGAAATAAATGTTGGCATACCTTCACAAGTTCTGCCATCGCCACTAAAACCTGGCTTGCACTGACAGACATAACTTCCCAGGGTGTTGGTACATAGGGCATTAATATGACAAAGGTTCTTTCCTTGTTCACATTCGTTA